TCTAAATCTTCACGCATACGACGATCTCTGTACTCCTTACGTTTCTCATCCATACGTTTGTCTATGGAATCGTAAATTTCATCAGCCTCCTCATCATCTTTGTCGTATGGATCTTTGGAAAAAAGTGAGCCACTGTAGCCGCTAAATTCATCGTAGTTAGAGTCGTTTAAATCCTCATCTTCCTCCTCCTCTTCTTCTTTCTTCTTGCGTTTTGCAGCGGGTGGTGCATGGCGATCATCAGACACATCGTTGGCATCGCGGGCAGGACCGATATCGGAACGCGTAGTGAAACCGGTGGCGCTATACAATGTTTTTTTTAAAGGAGTTTCCACAACTCGATGTATTAATGGAGAAATTATACTTACCCTCTACCGACACCAGCAACATAGCCAAGTGGCGCGGGTACGCCCAGAAAATGCTTTTTGTTCCGATTTGCGATAACTGCTGCAGTTATATTTGCCATTTTACCTCTGTTTGCTTTAGTGTAAAAGGATAGGAGTGTTAGTTAAAAGGAGCTTTTATCAATTACAGTTTATTTTCTTTCCCACTAAATTAGTAAACGTTTGCTCATATTTTTCATTCGCGGTTGTCATTATCAGCTGTTTTCTCGCGTTGTAAACACGTACCGGTAAAGATATGCAATAAAGAACGCTGAGCCCTCTAGCGGGGAGACTTTCTAACGAGGCGTTATTAAATAAATTCATTGTGTAAAGTTTTGGCAACCAAGTTTCCGCCGCCATTTCAACCGTTGTGCTTGTTTTTCATTACCGCGAGTGAGAAATTGTGAAAAATACTAATTTCTCCTGAAATATTGCACCGAATTTAGTGTTTTGTGCGAAATATTGCAGATGTGAGTGTTTGCTATAAGAAAAATGTGAAATATTAGTAAAAGTGTTGAATTAATGTGCCAATTTCGCAAGTGGTATCAAGTGACGCTGGCCGGTGCAGGAAAATTTTGCCAACTTTAGAAATCGTGGCGGGGTTGCACGGGTGAGTGTATTTTTATACAATTTAATATAATTATAAGAAGTGAGACTTTGTAACAAAAATAATTGCTATGGAAAGAGTCGATTTGTTTAACAAGCGGTGGCAGCAACAGGTGCGATGGCTGCGCTGCTTAGGCCTGTAGTTATGTTTTTATATTTTGAGTTGACTCATTTGTACGTAGGTATACATATGTATATGCAGTGCATAGATACATATCTGCACATATGTATGGAGAAATGTACATACATCAAGGGGTTTCATGCGTGCCACTGTAAATCAAATCATATCAATCAATAATTAAACAAAAATATATTAAGCCTTATGCCGAATTTTAAATAGGTTTGTATAGTAACTTCTCAAGCAAAATAGAGCGTAAAATTGAGAAGAAGAGAAAACTAGCAGAAAAAGTTTTTGAACACAAAACTAGTAAAAACTTGCAAGTGAATAGTTGTTGCACCGTTTTGATATTTTGCTGTAAACATTTTACTATTTATAAATCAGTTTTAAACTCTTTGCTTTACACACAAGCACTTGCACAGCCCAGTACATCATTAATATTTTGATTTTAACTTATTTTACTTTTGTTTGTGCTAAACCAATTCAACAAATGGCGGCTTTTGACATTTATTCTTCTTCTTCTTCTGCTAGTAAAATCTGCAATCCCGTATTCCTCGGACTCGGACTAGTAAAACTGTCAAAAAATAAAAATTCGCTCAGAGCGAGAGAGTAACATTGAAAAGTACGGGATCGCATTCTAGTAAAAAATGGTAACTTCTGTCAACTTCAACATAACCTTCAAATTTTGGATGTAAATTTTTGCTTATTTTATATGTAAACACACTCAGCTCACACATGTAAATAACCAAAAATACTTTCAAATTCATTAGAATCCACTTAAACAAGTAATTAAATACTTTTCAGCATGAATTAGCAGAGTGCACTTTTCTTTTGTTTACAATTTGGTTGCCAAACACACTACAGCTGATCGTTTGA